CCACCTCCCTCCGGCCTCCCCGCCTGCAGGCCACGCCCTCCCGACCCCGCCTCCAGGGCGTGGAGCATCATCCCGCGCCTCCAATGGCGCACTCTGTTTTGCGGATGCTTTTTACCGAGGGGTCATCTCAAGCCCCTTAACGCAAGTACGTGAATACATCCGCGAGTACGTAAGAGAGAGCCTGGACACGGCGAAGCCCGCTCGGACGCGGGGCTCTGCGGAGGCGGGAGGGCACGTGGCCGCCTGCGCCCGCGCAGCCTCTCGGGGAGGAGAGGGAGACGGACCGGCCGTGAGGTCAGCCCGCTTCTCCTCAGCTGCGGAGGCGGGAGTCGTTTCAGACCCGCTGCAGTCTGAAACCGGGACTTTGCACAGACCTCCGCGCAGCCAGCAGCCCCGTAATCTGCTTTAATTGAATAAACTGGAAGAACAAATCGGGCTGAGATGCTGAATCGAGGTGGCACGCGCTGCATATTTACAGCCCTGTCGGCAGAGGAGGGCTCGAGACACATGCTACCAACTTCTGCAGCCACTTTATTAAGTGGAATAAATAAAACCCACGCGGAACCGTGCAGACTTCACTCCCACTGGGACGCTCCCAGCTCAACACCTCCACTTCGCGCTGCTAAAACGTTTCTGTGGGGATCAAAACATGCTCCACGTCAGAGCTGACGGATGAGGCCCTGAGATGTGCTGGCTCCGGAGAGCTGGGCGAGCTTTCCCAGCTCCCTGTGCCACGTGTGGCTCCCAGCCTTCTGCCATCGGGGGACAGGCAGGCCCCTGCAGTAGCGCTGAGGGGCGAGGCCAGGCTCTGGGCCACCGTGGCGGCTGTCACGCCACGCAGCAGGGTCCTAGGAAGAGAGGAGCTGGGACGTGGTCCCACGCCTGGAGCCTGCACCCAAACCCAGCCCCCACCTGTTTTGTCCATGGTTTCACTGGCGCACAGCCACACCCACCGGTCCAGATGGCCCCCGGCTGCTTTCCAGAGCGGGGTGCATGGGACCCAGACCACGGCACTTACTGCCTGGCTCCTTAGAGACGAAGCCTGCTGACCCTGCGTGAGAAGGAACTGGAGCCTGGGCAGGAGGGATGGCTGGAGAGAGGCCACGGAGGACAGAGGGGCAGAGACGGGTGAGGGGAGAGAAGAACGCACAGCCATGAGGACAGAACAGAGAGAAAACGCGGAAGGAAAGGGAAGGGGACTGGAAGCGGAGGGAAGAGAAGCCAGTGAGCCACATCCGCTAGCACGCCGAGTCCCCACGGGGCCAATGACATCTCCTCCCTCTGCGCCCCGGACCGGCCTTCCAGGCCAGCGCCACAGCAGGCAGCGGGCGGGTCCAGAAGCTGGTTCCCGGGCTCGGGGACCAGACCGGGGTGGGGGGCCCGGGCGCTTCTCCGGCATGCACCTCGTGGTCCCGGCGGCTCTGCATGACAGCTGAACAAAGGGCCACCAGGGAGCGACTGGTGCTCTTCTGCTGGCCCTGCGCCTGTGCGTCCCCAAACGGTGCTCGGCGTGAGTGATGGCTGAGGCGTCTGGGACGCACTACAGGACCTGCCATGACACATCTGTCAAGTGACACAGCTTTCCACCGTGTGTCAACTTAGCTGAGCAACTACGATGCTCGACTAAGGAACTTCTGACGGGCGGCTCGAAGCAGCTTTTCAACTCTCGAGTGTGGGCAGTTCTCAGACTGACACGTAAAAGTTCTCGTTAATGAAACAGGAAGAACCGCTCCCCCACCCAAAGCCTGGAGGGCACCAGGCCCACAGCTTGCACGGTCTGGGGTACAGCGTGTGGCTGGTGTGACCTGGAGAGTGAGGACAAAGGCTGTTCCCTCCCTTGGGGCTACGGGACTGAACCAACTCTGGACAACAGCTGCACAAGGCTGTGAGCGCCCACACCCCAGCCGGCTGTGCTCCCCTCCCAGGGCTGCCCACAGGTCTGGGCGGAGGCCTCCCTGCCCGTTAAGGGGCCCCCTGGCACGGGAAGGTACAGCTGAGGCCACAGCCCCTGGCCTGGTGGGCGGGGCAGCGCCAGGGCCTGGGAGAGAAGGGTTCAGGGCAGCTCCTGGAGTGCAGCCCCCTGCCCAGCTGACACAACCGGTGTCCCAGGGACACGTGGGGAGATGGTATTGTGCCGCGGCAGAGTCAGAAAGCAACCTCCACTTCCCCCTCCTCCATTGGGGACTCAGCCTCCTCGGGTGCCAAAGGGAGACAGTCCCTGCCCTTGAGTAAGTGGCCTGAGACCAGGGAGCGAGGGCACCCGTTCTCCCTAACTCAGCCTCCTCCTGGGGTGGCCCCGGAGCGGAAGGAGCACACGATGCCTCTCCCAGGCCCCAGCTGTGGGCAAGAGAGTGGGTCTGCACAGGGACACGGGCCTTTAACAGCTGCACTTCCCGAGGGGCTCGTGGAGCCCAAGAGCCCACGTGAGCACGGTGGTGACGTCAAATGCGGGGCGTGCCCGGGGAGCCGAGTCTCATGCGGCTGATGCCTGTCATCTGTGACGCTCAGAGACAAGGTGGGCGCTTCCTGTGCCCCTTCTTCCCACCTGCTCCAAACCCACACTTAGAGGCCCCTCTACAGACCAAAGAGCCTTGTGCTGCGTGTGTCCCTGTGCATGCCACTTCTGTGACGTTTTCACACATCTGGGAGAGACCCCTGGTCCCAGCCAAGGATGAGGCTGCTGTTGTTCCAGCTGCCATGAGTAGACAGTGTGACAGCCAAGAGAGACCCAACCTCTCTGGGAGGATAACGTTCGTCACCGCAAGTGACCAAGAGCAAAGGTCTCGAAAAGCTAAAAGCCCCACACAGTTCCTCAAACCACACTGTCCTAACCCACGTGCAGCCTCCAGCAGCGGCAGTGCGTGACCGGCCTTGTTGGTCCTTCTGTTGTAGGAACCCTGCACAGGGCAGGGCCTGCACTGCCACCCTAGCCTTCCCAGGACCCCTCATCCTCACCTGTGCCCCGCCATGAGATGGGCCAGCCCACCTGTGGAAGCAGCTTCTCCCCAGCCAAGCACCTGGGCCTGGGCGAACGGCACTCAGAGCCTTGCCGTGCGGCTGCCCCGTTCCCACTGACTCCTCGTTGGGCTGGGAGCGCCCAGGACCTGGGGAGTCCGCCCAAGCCTGGGGCCCGTGCACAGCAATGCCTGGCACCCATCAGGCCAGCAGATGACCTGGGGGAAGATGGAGAAGAGGACAGAGCAGGAAGGAGGGCCAAGAAGAGTGTGGGGGAGGGGAGCATGGGGGCAGGAAGAGGAGGAGGAGTGGGGGAAGGGGGAAGGAGGAAGGAGGAGTACGACACCATTTTCCGCCCACAGGTTCCAAGAGACGATTGGAAAGGAGGGGGAGGGTCTTGTGAGGAGCAGAAGAGGCAGCTGAGAAGCCCCGCCCGCCCCACTCCCTCCTGTGACCCCCTCCCATGCAGGCCCAAGGGCAGGACGCTGGCTTTGCTGCCACCTGGTAGGGGGGGTCACGGCTCGCCACAGGGGTGGCCCCAGGCCCCTGGACACCTAGGCAGTGTCTAGGGCCCACCCCCGGGGCTGACTGGATCCAGCCACCACCTCTACTTCTCATTTCCCACACCTGGAGGCCTCAGCCTCTCTCCGGCCACCTGCTGACGCTCCAAAAGGCCAGGGGACAGTGACCAGCTGGCCGGCCCGGGAAGGCCTGCTGCCAGCTCCCTATGCTTCGGTCCCCCAGACAGCAGCTCCGGCCTGGGTGGGGCTCTGGTGGCAGGTACAGGGGGCCTATTGTGCAGAATGGGTGAGCGTGTGGGGAAGGACCAGACGGTCAGCAACGCACGGCCCTGTCCCACCGACCCGAGAGAGCAGGAACGCGCCCCTCAGCACCCCGTCCGCACGGCACGGGATGTCTTTGCGTGCCCCTTGGCACCCCGTCCGCACGGCACGGAATGTCTTTGCCGGGAGGGCCAGCAGGGCCAGGGTCCCGAGCACTGAGGCTGGGTTCCTGGGGTAACCCCAGCCTCAAAGACAGAGGACTTCAGGAAGCAAAAGCGGGGCCAACAAGGAGCCCGGGCAGTGTGGCCTGCGTGGAGCAGAGGGAGCCACCAGAGGGCTCGCAGGCTTCCGGAGGCCCAGCAGCACTCGTGTCCAGGAGGACCGGGGGACCCCAGTGTCCATCAGATGCCCCTGAGTTTCCGAGCGGCACCCACACCCATCGGCGGAAAGGCTGCACCCAGGCTGCCAGCCCTAGGGCTGGGGCCAGATGTGCAGGCCTAGGCGAGGTACGAGGGTGGCACGCTGAGCACTGGGCTCTGAGGACCCTGACGGCCCCTCGACACCTGACACACAAAGCCTGAACACGTGGCACTGGAGGTGGCAGGCCACCGGCGTGGCGATGGACGGCTTGGAGTGCACACAGTGTGCGCGGACGGGGGACGTTTCTCAGTGTGGAAACCGCCGGGGCCGACTGGAGGTGTCACGGGGAGCCTGCCCTGCGCACCCCCATCGTCGCACATGGAGGCAAACGTGCTGAAGAGGGGCGCTCGGTGCCGTGGCCCCTTCCACCCGGGTGGCAGGTCTGCATGCGGCAGGCTCCCGGGGGTACTCACCTCCATCTCCGAGCTGTGGGCGTGCACCTTCTGCACCAGGTCCTCAGCCTCGCGCATGCGCCGGGTGAGCTGGGGCGAGTACTCGGCTGGGGTCAGCTCGCTGTCGTAGGACCCCAGGATGGCGCGCATGCCGTCCCGCTCCTGTGGGCAGAGGGCAGGTGGTCAGGCCCAGGTGGGAAATGGGTGGTGACCTGGCACTAGAGGGACACGTGTGACGGAAGGCAGGGCAGGAGAACGGGCTCAGGATCGAGCTCGGGGAGCAGACTGTCCGGTGGCAGGGGGCTCCCCAGACAGCTCCTCAGAGTTCACGTTGAACATTCAGCAGCCTCGACTCGGACAGGCCAACGAGCCTGGCTGGGGCCTCGCTGCCTGAAGGGGCGGCGTCCACATGTCGGCACGCGCCCTGGCCACCAGGCCTTGTGCTGCAGTGGTCTGCTGTGTCCCCGAGCTGGGCCGGTCTCTAGCCAGTATCCTGGGTTAGTGACTTCCTGAGTCTCATCAAACTGGCCGAGGAAAACACCTGTTGGTGCTGGGAAGTGGTTTGAGCATCTTGCCTCCTGTGACCCCTGACCTTAAGCCCAGGAACACTCAGAGCGAGCTTCCGGAAAGGGGAGACCTGTGTAGCATGCAGGCAGCAGGCGTCCTGATGGGGCCGAGACCCAGCACTCTCTGGGGGGTCCCGATCCCTGCTAAGATGGCTCTGGCTTCAGCAAGCTCATGGGAAGCCTGCGGCCATAGTCCAGGCGAACATGCACAGCCTCCCCTGGAGCCAGCACAGCCCAGGAGGGAGAGGTGTGTCTGGGAGACCCGCCGGGCCAGCCTCGTCATCAGCCTCGGCTTCCTGATGAATGAGGTGGTGACCAGCTGATCTCAGAGGACAGCGGTGACAGCAGTGCCCCTACAGATGCAGCGGCCAGCGCACTGCCCCATGGATGAGGCCGGCACGTGGCCACAGAGCGACCGCATCTGCGTCACAGAGAGCCCTGTGTGTTATCTGCGGGCGCACCCCCTCCAGCAGACGCCCCTGGGGCCCCGGCCCAGCTTTGCTCCAGGCCGCCCAGGGCAGGCATCCGGGTGGGTGGCAGCCCGCAGCAGCACTGTCGCAGAGGCAAACGCACAGAGCCGGGAGACCCCCGGGCGCCCCCGAGCCGTAGGGCTGAGGTCCCCCTCCACTCGGCAGTCTCTAGGCTGGTGCTGCCATGACACAAGGCCTGTCTGTGCCCCCGGGGGACTTGTCCCAGCTGCTCCGCTCCAAGCATTGATACCGTCCCCACCCTGCCCAAACCCTCCCTTCTAGGGTGAGCCTGAGGGATGCGGATGGCAAGACCCCCGCGTTCACCGCTGAGAGCCCGTCGGCCCTTCACCGCCAAGCTTCGTCCCTCACGAGCCTCAGGCTCAGTCGTCCCCCAGCGTGGACTTCTAATTAGTCGATGACAAAACAATTCAATAAGTGAGAAATTAAAGTTATAGATCCAATGGGAACTGGTCACGTATCTGTGAAAGTGTTTCCGCGGAAGGTTTATCGAGCGTCATGGTTGTATTGAAGTTCTCTATCTTCCTACTGACTTTCATGGCTCCCAGCTGGTTTCCGGTTCTCGCCACGGAGCGCGAGGCCAGGGGAGGCCAGGGCGGGGTTTCCCGCCATAAGCAGGCAGCGACTGTCTGTCACCGGCCGGCAGGTCTCCACGCACTGCCCACACACACTCCCCCTGCCACAGCTCCGGGCAGCAGGGGGGCAGCGAGGAAAACCTAACGTCCAAAGTGTGTTTGTGCCTTTCAGAGGAACGGTTTTGTCATTAGCGGTGCAAGAGCGGGGACTGTGCTGGTCTGACTGGACAGCGCCTTTGTAACGGCTAAATCCACCTGTGCAAAGTTCGCTCCGTTTCCACTTGAGCAAGTGCCGGCGACTCTCGGCGGAGCGGACAGGCACCCAGGCTGCGGCGGGGGCCGTGAGACCCGGAAGGGTGGGCATGACGGCGGAGTCGGGCCCTACGCTCCTTAAAGGCTCTCTATCAGGGACGGGGGTTTTCTGCACACGGGGCCAATGTCGGCCCTTTTGTGGCCAGGGAAGTCCAGCAGCTCTGCGTGAAGAGGCAAAGCTGTGGACGGGGAGGACAGCGTTCCAGGACTGCAGGGCACGAGAAGCGGGACGCGGAAAGGTGGGGCTTCTCGCCTGTGCGTGATGACCCTCCGCGGGCCAGTCCTGCATCCTCCCGCTCATGGGTGGCTTCCCGCTGCTCCCAGCCCTGACAGGCCCCCGACAGCAGCGGCAGAAGAGCCCCGTGACCGGCCCCTGCTGAAGGCATCACGAGGGCCGCCAGGGGCCTCCGGCCACCTGGGACCTGCTTCACGCCTTCCGTCCTCCACTCCCTCCCTAGCCCAAACCTGGGTGTGAGTGTGCAGGGACCCCGTGTGGGCTGGGCTGGGCTGGGGAAAGCTGAGATGCGGGCCTCCAGCAGGGGTCCAGAGGACCAGGCCTGCACCCTCCTGAGTCCCCGAGAGGATGTACAGACACCAGAGGTCCCCGGGGGAAGACCGAGGGTCCCAGGGGCTCCTGGAAGGGCGTGCTTTCTGCTGGGGCACGGCTGGGGAAGGGCCCTCTGACCGGAGAGAGTGGCCTGAGCCAGCACCCGGTGCACCCTCGCAAGAGAGCAGCAGAGACCAGCAGTAGCAGCAGCAGCTGGCCCTCCAAGGTGAGGTGATGGACACTGAGCTCTGAAGTGCAGCCCGAGACACGCTGAGTCCCACGGGAGGAGACACACGCGCACCCCACACAGAGGCTGCAGAAGAACACGGGGGGCTGGGGTGCTCCCTGGGCCACGGGTGCTTCTGCACACACCACTGCGACACTCGGGGACACCCAGCCCTCGGGTCTGCCGTCTGGCTGGATATTTACGACACTGCCTGACGGCAGGTGCCCTTCTTCAGGAAAAGCCCGCGACTTTGAGCCTGGGGCCCTGGCGTGGGAGAAACAGAGGGCAGAAGAGCAGGATGGCCACGAGGACGCGGACGAGGACGCTCAGCCATGGCACCCAGGGCCTGGCGCAGGGACGGCCACCGCCTAGAGGCGGCGTGGAGCCCACGAAGAGAACATCCAGATGGGAGCTCAGCCCCCGAAGGGGACGTCGCTGAGCACCGGGCCTGTGCCTCCTGCCCTGCCCCAAACCTGCCTTCTCACGGATGAGCTGTGTGACCGCAGGGAAAATAACTGGCCTCCCTGAGCCTCAGAGTGCTCGACTGTGCCACAGGGCGAGCGAAGAAGCCCCGGGGTCACTGTGAAGTTCAAACGCAGCACTGCACGCGAAGCACTTCAGCCGGAGCTGGGCGCTCATGAGGCTTCGCTCCAGGGGCACTGGCGGCCGTGGCTGCCACTGCTGTTCCGTGAACATTCTCACAGTTTCTCCTGCTCACGTGACGACCCCGCCTGCTTGGGACGGTGGCAGGACAGGCAGCAGAAAGGACAGGGAAAGGCCAGCCTCTCCTGCCGCCTGGCGCACCCCCACTTCGGAAGCCCCTGTCCCGGTGAGGCTGGTGGGACACGCAGGGACCTGTGCGCCCACTTCTCAGGGAAAGGGACACGTCGGAGGGACAAAGGCCTGCCCGGCGTCCCACCCCGTGTGCTGGCGGCACGCACGCCACCAGGGAGGAGCCCGGCTTACTACCCCAGCCCCCAGAACGAGGCGGCACCCTCACCAACGCTTTATCCTGACACCTGCCTCCCAGCCTCCGCCACCGCAGCCGCTGGCCTGATTCTGTCCCCGCCAGCCGCTCGAGCCCGCGCCCACTCGGGCTGCACAGTGTCCCCGGCAGCCCCTCCTCGCCGCTCACCTGTGCCAGGGCCCAGCCCCACAGGCGCCGCCGCCTCCGTCCCCACGGTCCTTTCCTTTCCTTTTCGTTTAAGACACGGAGATGCTGCTCTCTGTTCCCGCCGCTCTGCTGCCAGCCTGTCCCCTTCCCACCCCGATGCCAGGGAGCCGCGCCTGACCCAAAGCCCCACGTTACAGACAGAAGCCAGCGACACAGGACCCTGAAGAGGCGGGAACCCCAGGCTGCGAGGGCTTCCTGGGCCGCCGCCCTCCATGCCTCGCCTCCTGCAGCTCTGGGAGCTGTAAGCAGACACCTGCCAGCGGCTGCAGGCCAGCCGAGGACGTCTGGCTCACGGGGTCAGAAGCTCCGACAGGGGACCTGGGGACGGAGGCCGAAGGTGAGATGCCACACCTGACGACATCGCCCCGACCCCAGAGCCAGGACGAGCTGCCCAGTCCGGAGTCCCTGGAGGGCAGACCTGTCGTCCCCCACAGCCGCATCCCGGCCAGGCTGCCCCTCATGGGGACACGCTGGGTGGCACCTAGCGTAATCCTGACCTGCGGACCCCGAGACCCTCGAACAGACCTTGGTCACTTATTTCCGGCCACAGCCTCCTGGCTCTCTGGGCCCCGCCAGCAAAGCTGAGAGGCACGCGAGGCAGGATGGGAAAGTGGGCAAAACTGCGGGAAAAGCCCAGCGGGGAAAGGGCGGGGCAGCGACCAGGAAGCAGCGCGTGGGTTTCCAGAACTGGGAAGAAACACCCGCTGTCCCATTTAGAGGCCATCGGAGGTTCCAAAAGTGTGTGGGCGGGGGGCACGGTGGACCCTACCACCCGGCACACTTGTCACAGACGGGGGCTGACGTGACGTGGCTGCGGCACTGAGTGGGGGACGGCGGGCCGAACTTCACGATGCCCGACAGGAGGCGCAAGTCGACTGCTCGCCAGCCGCACGGGTTCTCCAGGTGGACGGGCACAGGGCACGTCACGAAGACGTGGGCACGGAGCAAAGGCCTGAGAAACAGGGAGACCGAGTGAGCGACCACAGCCGCGAGACCGTGCACGCCTGTCACACGGGGGGGACGGCTCACCGGCTCCGAACGGCCCCTCGCACGCTTGACGACACCCAGACAGGTGACCTCGAACAGCACGGGTCTGAGCTGTGTGGGCGTCTCGTCCAGACGCGGACCTTAGGTGAACCCATGCAGCTCACCTGCACCGTTCGAGGTCACCTGTATTTAAATACCTACAAGGATATAAAAGAAAATTAACAGAGAATCAGGTGAAGAAGAGCACACCAATCGTTTTTTAAAGTCACACGAGCGCACACACAGGT